CATTTACCACTTGTCAAGGGTACACTGAATGATACAACTTTTTAACACGGATGCAGAGTGAATCCCACTCACTGGGCACATTACACACTGGTTATTAGCTGAAGACAATATAGCAGTTTCTAGGCTTGTTGTTGCACTTCGACTATAGAACAATCCGTGGCAGTAGTTATAAGTGTAGCAATGGTGGCGTTATGTGCGTAACTGTAAGGAGCGCCGCCTGCCTCGTGACTAACACAACTCACTGAAACTATCACTACAAGCACGGCTTCCCGTGAGGTGTGAACGCCAGTGCGCTGCCTGGAAAATGTCATCCCCCCCTCCTCCTCTCCATCATTTGACCGTTAGTGATGTTCATCTCTCCCGCAACACTAGACACGAATATCACAGTAACTACTCGCACCAGCACACACCACACTAACGGAAGATCAGAGTTCGTGCTGGACTAACACGGTTCCTCACGCACGGTGCAGTATTCACAGAAACGATGACTATTTGAAAACATTTAAGATAAATGTGATGTGAAGACAGCCGCAGGAATGATGCTTGGGGATTTTTTTATTAATGAAAATAGATACAACAACAGTATTTTACCTTACTCCAGCCAGTAAAGAAGACGGTGGACGAGAATGTCGAAAGAACGCTAACTCGAATTCAGACACTGGGTCAGATGTGCTTCTCCGCCATTACTTCTAGTCAATAATGCTATACGATATGACCGCTGCGCTGTATAACCCTTGTAGGTTTTGCGCTTCTTTTCATTATAATAATAATAATAATAATAATAATATATGACCCGTCTACTATATTCCCATCTTCTCGTGAATGGGTGGGTGCAATTTCACATTTTTGTTTTTAGCTACAGGAGTAGAGCTATGTTCGTTGTGTCTCGTCTTCAATAATTAATTCATTATATATTACTGGATAATTTTCAATTGTTCCAACATTTATTGCTCTTTAAATCCATTTCATTAATTCCCTCCATTGGTTTGTGTGTGTGTGTGTGTGTTTACTTACCTCACACTAACCGGTACTTCTTCAACGCTTGTTCAACCTCTGGACGACGACCTACTAACACTAGTGGAAGGTCCCACAGTGATCCCGCCTCCTCCTGCTTCGACTTACCTGACTGCAGTATATAAGCCACCTCTCTGGCCCTATGCTGTACTTCCTGAAAGAGTGATGGACTGAACACATTGATTCCAGGCTGAGGGACTGATTACCTCAATCTCCTCCTCTCCTTACTCATTTCTACTTTGTACTGGACTGATGAAACCACTGTGTGGTGAAACGTTTCTTCAGTAAAGATTTCCGTGTGTTGCATAGTGTCTCAATTCTTCAACTTGTCGGTTTTGTAAACCATTCATCACAACTGCCCACGTGTTGGATGGTCCCCATGCTCATGCAAAACAAGAAGTACAGCCCCAGCACAATAAATACATCAACTCACCATTAAACTTTCTATTAATGTATCTCAGCAGAGTTAGCATGCGAGTAGTGGCTCACATGCGTGTGAACATGGAGGACGGCACTATTCAAGGAACAACATAAATACCACCAAAGGATCCCTGATGGTGACACTACAACACGCTTTTTTTTTTTTTAATTTCAACATTCATTTTTTCCGTGCTCTGTGTTAATTAAAACAGTTGTGTGCATGAGTGTTTGCAGGCACGCGTGTCATACTTTCATGGTCTAAGTTATAATTATATAAACCCTCCTCGCTCTCTACGTGACAGAGGTTTTCAACAAATAACAGGTTTCCGTTTCACACTTATATGAGAGATGAGTACACGTAGTACCTTCCTGGATATTGCTGTTTACTAGCCTGCTGCCTGGATGGCTGAGGTCTATCAGCCCAGTAGTGTTTATAGGGTAAAGACACATGCAGCATTTACTACATTTATTTAAAGGAAAAATTCCACCCACTTGGAGTTTTGTCTATCCTATACAAAACTTACTGAAAGCTGTGCTTATATAGTGGAAAGAGATCAAATGAAGCGAAGAGAGAGTTTAGGTCAGGTGTAGTAGTACATGGGTGGAGCTACGTTTGTATTCCAGTTGGCTAAGATCGTTAGCTTGGTAGTTGTAGGTGTGTCTGGCCGATGGTTCAAACTTAATCTACTTCTTGAGTTGATCTAGTCATCTCATCATCGACACTTCTCAACAACTTAGACATGTCAGGCCTTAGCCATTTCTTATTTACCACAGTAACACCTCATTTCATGCACCACACGAAACTATCATTCCAGGCCGTGCTCTTAAACTTTGCGTTCTCTTTTTGAGCTTTAGTTTTTGCTCAGGCGAAACTGAAGCGACTCTCGATTCCTTCTAGTTGTCCATATTGTGTTAGGATACAATGCTCCTCATGTTTATATTCTAAAAGTTGTCAGAATTCTTTAATGATACATACATACATACCCATGAACTCGTAATGAACAACGGTCGATGAATAAACATAAAGGTGGAAAGGGAGCCTCGAACATACACATACATACATCTACTGTTATTAATATCATCTACATTAATGTTAAATTTTTGTGCTGGATGGAAGTGCGTGTTTTCAATCATTATTGTGGCGATTTTTGTAGTAATTGTTGAAATATATATCAGTACAATAACCAGTCAAAATAATATGTACCATTCATAATAGTTACTGAAATAATGAGTCAGTATACTGGGATATAATATATAATGATTTTCAGTGTTCACTTTGTTTCATAACCTCCAATTATTGTTACTTTACTGTTAAATGGACGGTCCACTGTCATTGCTGAGTCATCAGTGTCACTTGCTGTTGTAACAACAGTAAACTACCGTTCCGCTATCATCAGTATAGCTACTGTTTTTGTGTGAACGGTTAACTACCTTTACCACCAGTGCCACTACTGTTGTGTCAACGGTTAATTACCTATACAATCAATGTCACTACCGTTGCATCAACGGTTAACTACCTTTACCACCAATGTCACCTGACCAGCCGGGTTGTGGCTTGTACGTTGGATTGCGTGCAGCCAGCAGTAACAGCCTGGTTGATCAGGCTCTGATCCACCATGAGGCCTGGTCACAGACCGGGCCGCGGGGGCGTTGACCCCCGGAACTCTCTCCAGGTAACTCTAATATCAACTGTTAACCACCTTTACTGTCCCACTGTCACTACTGTTATATCAACAATTACCTGGAGTATACTTGAAAGGGGTTTCGGGGGGTCAACGCCCTCGCGGCCCGGTCCGTGACCAGGCCTCGTGATGGATCAGGGCTTGATCAACCAGGCTGTTACTGCTGGCCACACGTAAACCGACGTACGAACCACAGCAATTGCTTTACTGCCACTTATGTGGAGTGCGGCTGTCTGTTGTTTTTAGTGACTGTGGGATGACGTGTGTCCATACTCCCTCTCCATATAATATTTAAGGCACGTAAAAAGGGTTTCTTGCAGTTCTAGATGAACTCGGAGTTCCAAGAGTCTGGGCCTGGGGCAGAGTGCATGGGCATGTCATTTACTGTTTTTTTAAAGTCTTGTGGTGTTAGGATAATAATCATAAATTTTTGAATTAACCAAATTCTGAGTCTCGGTCATAAAACATTCATTTAGATTGTCGATCCGCAGTCTAATTAACGACTCACTAAACGCTGAGTCATACTGAGAGTTCAGTATCTCACTCATTTCTTTGCTGTTGTCTAAGTCCCATCTCGTTTAAGCTGGGGTCCAATACTACATGCTGGTTTTGCTCTAGATCTGGCATAAGATACATTTTGTGTTTTTTTTTTTTTTTAATTTCATTTATAACTTTAAGTTCTTCCTGTGTTTCTTGTCTCTTGTATGATTCCTTAAACTTAAGTTGGATATTTGCTATTTCTCTGACCAGTGCCTCCTTTCGTATTTCAGATATGCTGGCCCCTTTCAGCAGCTCTGTGATTCTTCGCCTTCGCCTGTATAGAGAGCGTTTCTCTTTGGTTTACATCTTCTTAAAAGAATGTGCCTTGAGTATACCTCAAGTGCCACAGTGTTAATTCTTTCTAGGCAAATGTTCGGATCCGTGTTGTTTAGGATATCTTTCCAGTTTGTTTCATTTAGGACATGGTTGATTTGATCCTACTGTATATTTTTGTTATTGAAGTTGATCTCCTTTATGCTGGTCAGGAGCTCTGCGCATACATGTCTGTATGTAGGCTTGTATATTCTGTTTATTTATTATTAAATTATTGTAAACTTATTTAAAGTATATTTAGCTGGATTAGGCTAAATTAAATTGCGCTTGTTATAATAAGGTTGGGTAAGTTTTCAAAGGTTCTTTTGATACAAAATTATTAATTTTTACATTAACATAAATTAAAAAATATATCTTTAAACGTGTAACTACAATATACAGCAGGACACTAAACGGGAACACAGACACATTTCACGAACAGAGCATTTTTACAAAGTCACTTAAAACATACAGTTATTAGATGTGAATTTAAAGTACACAAACGAGGTAACAATACATAAAGAACCTTAAAACACCATGAAGATGTGTAAAATAAAGTTTGAAATGTGCCTATCTTCACACTTTTCCAATGGAAATAAGTCACTTTGACTTTTTTTTTGGGGGGGGGGAAGGAGTTATCCTAGGTAATTTATATATATGTTACTATGTATAATAACTGTACTTATGTGTATCTGTATCTAAATAAACTTACTTATTCCTTGATCTGCTGAACTGTCTCCAAAAGGATCACAGTTAGAATTTACAATGCAGCCTAATTATAGTCGGTTGCATGTAAAAAAAAATTATGCAAATATTTACATAAAAATAAGTGTAACTACTCGGAACATGTAAGTAAATGGTAAAGCACATGACTGACAACGTAAAGGACCTTGACACGATTCCCGGAGCAGAGGATAATAATAATAATAATAATAATAATAATAATAGTAAATAAATGTTTGTTGGGCTTTGAAATGAACTTTTCACCTGTACATACGACTGTGTAAATAACAATCTGCGACTGGTACTCACTATGGTTCAGTTTTTGGTCTGTAGCCGCCTCCTGCTTCCATGTCCCTATCCTTGTTGTACTTTTCCAACTTGTTCTTCTTCGGCTTCTCCTTCTCCGGGAGGTCTCCGCCAGGGCAAGACGCCTCGTCAGACTCATTCTTCAGTTTCTTGTGCTTCTTGTTCTTGGCGTTCGGACCCTTGGTGAAGCCGTTAACTGTACGAAGAACCCAGACCTCAATACACAATAAACAATTTTATTCTCAAAGCATTGCAAGAATGTGGTGACTGCAGCAGCAAGCGCACTAGTGAGTATAAAATACGCAATACAGAGTAAACCTATATTTTAGAAATTCTAATCAAGAGTAAGCTTTAGCAGTTCTTAATAAACTTCAGCCCTGATTAAAATGTCTGTTGTAATTTTTGCTTATCAATTATAAATATCAAAATAACTTAAACTTCGTTATATTTTGGTTATATATAAATATAATTTATTAGACTATAACAGTTGAAGTCCCTGTGGCTAGAGACAAATGTGATTTTTTTTGTACACGACCTTTCTCCACTCGTTGAGTATTGGCGAGTCGAAAAAGTTATTTCATGCAGTCCATTGCATGGGCAAAACGTTGTCAATAAAGGTTCGCATTGTTTCATTTGTGTATCGTTTACCATTGTGTGTGCATTTTATACCTTTATTTTTCCAGTTAAGGACCATCTTGTACTTCACGTGTTTCAAACAAGACGTAAGCCTAGGATAGAAACTTAAATTGAAGCCTAGAATAGAAACTTAAATTTCAGGTACACAGTGTACCGAGTTCTCTTATATAAACTCGCAGTTCGTACAAAAGGTTACGGATAAATTGTGTAAACATCGGCATTTGCAGACATAACAGAGCTCATTTTGACAATAAGAATTAAACGCGGTTTGATCCTGCTGTCTAGTAGTCCTGGGGTTACAAGGCTTTCGTGCTATCCGCTATACTGCACTGCTATAGTGGTACATCAACCACTAATTGCTGTTGCCTGGTTAGGTTGGTGTAAACCACAATTATGAACTACCACTACAACCACCCCTTCTACTATTACCACAACCACCCCTTTCTTTTAACTTAAGGATCTTAACAGGGTTAAGAGTTCCTACCTTTATTTACAAGTTAAGAGCTGTTACCTACCTAAAGTCGTTTGAAAGATTTATTAGTATACTACTAAAACTACTAGATACCTTTCCTCAATTACTACCACTACCTTGTCTAGTACTACCATCACTTCTATTATCACCACCACTTGGGGAGGAGGTCTGGACAAAGGCAAGAAGATGGCCTTTTTTATGGCGTCATGAATGGGCGGGCGAACGGGGCGCCCACTGGTAGGGGGTTTCCCCCAGTGGAAAGGTCCTTCCCAAAGAGATGGTTAGTGCAGCAGGTGAAGAGGGTCTTGTAGAGCCCTTGAACCAAGATTCCATGATGTTGCAGTGTCTGACAAGTTGTGCAAAAAGGTATAAAATCCCGACAATATGAAATTAAGACACATTGCAAATCTGGATTCTTTATTGTGTAGACTTTTTCGCCATCCAGTGGTTTTTAAAATAAGATTTAGGACTAATGGGGAAGACAGTAGAATATAAAAAAAAGATGATAATAGCCCCTGGGCCCTTGGGTTTTTTCACAGCATCGTGGTGGAGGAGAGTCTGGAGCAAAGGCAAGAAGACTGGCGCTTTTTATAGGCGTCTGCTGCCCGTCCCATTCACTGACGCCTATAAAAAGCGCCAGTCTTCTTGCCTTTGCTCCAGACTCTCCTCCACCACGATGCTGTGAACACTAACTCCAAGGCCGAGGGACTGATTACCTCACTTTTGTATATAGTTCTACTGTCTTCCTATTATGTCCTAGAATCTGTATTGATAAAGCCACTGGATGGCGAAACGTCTACTACAATAAAGATATCCAGATGTTGCACATGTGTCTTAACTTTCATATTGTCGGTATTTTATACCTTTCTTGCACAACTTGTCAGACACTGCAACATCATGGAATCTTGGTTCAGAGGACATCTACAAGACCTTCTTCACGGCTGCTGCAACTAACCCATCTCTTTGGGAAGGACCTACTTCCACTGGGGAATCCCGCCTACCAGTGACTGCCCTCGTCTGCTGCCCGTCCCATTCACTGACGCCTATAAAAAGCGCCAGTCTTCTTGCCTTTGCTCCAGACTCTCCTCCACCACGATGCTGTGAACACTAACTCCAAGGCCGAGGGACTGATTACCTCATCTTTTGTATATAGTTCTACTGTCTTCCTATTATGTCCTAGAATCTGTATTGATAAAGCCACTGGATGGCGAAACGTCTACTACAATAAAGATATCCAGATGTTGCACATGTGTCTTAACTTTCATTCAGTCCATACGTAGGAGAAACTTGAAGAACAGGAGGAGAATGAGGTAATCAGCCCCTCAACCTTGAGTCGATGTGTTCAGTCCATCAATCTTGAGTATTCATACATCAATGTATATGCACTGAGAGGCATACACCTCTGTATATATACCGGGAGGCATACGCCTCTGTATATACACACCGAGAGGTATACACCTCTGTATATAGACCGAGAGATACACCTCTGTATAGACCCCGAAAGGCATACATCAATGTATATACACCAAGAGGCATACATCTCAGTGTATACACTTAGTATGCCAAAAATCACGTGAAAACCAAGTCACACTAATTAGGATTTATAATAGGATTTAAATATGTAAACAGTTAATGGAGTGCAAATGTACAGTGTACACCAAAGTCAAACACACACACATAAAATATCAACTGCATAAGAATAGTGACAGTCACGCCAGTATCACACTAAACAAATGACAAAATTTGAATTATATGCAAATAATGGGGATGCACAATAATGATAGCTATATATAGGAAAATATGGAAATGTACAAATAGTTCCCACATGTAAAGGAGTGATCACGTTAAACGGAATAATCACACCAATTTTAGAGTATTAGTGTTTGAATTAAGAATAATATATGGTTCAGAGACAGCACAGTTATTTGTTTTCCTGATGATGTCCCATAGAACGGGGATCATTCAACTCGATTACCATTTACGAAGTTATAACACATTAACTGTACGGTACACGTCACTCAAGCGACTCAGCCCAACGCTGTGGTAAAAGTAGAAGTTTCGTGACCCCTAAACTGAAAACAACTGAGCTAAACGTGTTTTCAAGGTTATAGTTAGAGGCTGAAGTTGTGATGTAGGAAACAGACATTCGTTAGATGCTAACACTGTACAGTACTAGGAAATATTTCATCCGGGTTTTATTACTGAAACAAAATGATGAATGGAATTAGTGTTTCCAGTTGTGTACATGAGAGAGAGAGACGAACAGACACACTACGGATGTTTTCTAAAAGTGATACACATAGAGTATGGAAGCCGCACTTTGTGTTTCCTCCATGTAACTATCATACAGAATAGGGTAGTCACACGCTGCGGGTGTTCCCATAATCTAACTATTGTAGAAAACAAAGTGATAATGTTAAATCTCTTCATCCCAAAGGTCAGAGAGAGTTACTATGTATGGTTTAACTTTGTATATGTCAGTCATGTGTGTATTATGGTGACCTTGTATATGTCACTTATACAAATCTTAAGAAAATTTACATTCTTCCGAACTACATCAACAACAACAACAATAATAATAATAATAATAATAATAATAATATAATAATAATAATAATAATATTATTATTATTATTATTATTATTATTATTATTATTAGTCAGCAACCACCAGCAACCACCCTCCAGTACCGCAGGAGGGTAGTGCCTCCTGGGTGGCTGCTGTCTTCTACCAACTTCCACAGGACGGTAGTACCTCCCTGGGTGGTTGCTGTCTACCAACCTACTACCGCAGGACGGTAGTACCTCCCTGGGTGGTTGCTGTCTACCAACCTACTACCACAGGACGGTAGTACCTCCCTGGGTGGCTGCTGTCTACCAACCTACTACCGCAGGAAGGTAGTACCTCCCTGGTGGTTGCTGTCTACAACCTACTACCACAGACGGTAGTACTCCCTGGGTGGATGCTGTCTACCAACTTACTTCCACAGGACGGTAGTACCTCCCTGGGTGGCTGCTGTCTACCAACCTACTACCGCAGGAGGGTAGTACCTTCCTGGGTGGTTGCTGTCTACCAACCTACTACCGCAGGACGGTAGTACCTCCCTGGGTGGCTGCTGTCTACCAACCTACTACCACAGGACGGTAATACCTCCCTGGGTGGCTGCTGTCTACCAACTTACTACCACAGGACAGTAGTACCTCCCTGGGTGGCTGCTGTCTACCAACCTACTACCGCAGGAGGGTAGTACCTCCCTGGGTGGTTGCTGTCTACCAACCTACTACCGCAGGACGGTAGTACCTCCCTGGGTGGCTGCTGTCTACCAACCTACTACCACAGGACGGTAGTACCTCCCTGGGTGGCTGCTGTCTACCAACCTACTACCGCAGGAGGGTAGTACCTCCCTGGGTGGTTGTTGTCTACCAACCTACTACCGCAGGACGGTAGTACCTCCCTGGATGGCTGCTGTCCTACAACCTACTACCACAGGACGGTAGTACCTCCCTGGGTGGCTGCTATCTACAACCTACTACCGCAGACGGTAGTACCTCCTGGTGGTTGCTGTCTACCAACCTACTACCGCAGGACGAGTACCTCCCTGGGTGGCTGCTGTCTACCAACCTACTACCACAGGACGGTATACCTCCCTGGTGGCTGCTGTCTACCAACCTACTACGCAGAGGTAGTACCTCCCTGGGTGGTTGCTGTCTACCAACCTACTACCGCAGGACGGTAGTACCTCCCTGGGTGGCTGCTGTCTACCAACCTACTACCACAGTGACGGTAATACCTCCTGGTGGCTGCTGTCTACCAACCTACTATACCACAGGACGGTAGTACCTCCCTGGGTGGCTGCTGTCTACCATCCTACTACCGCAGGAGGGTAGTACCTCCCGGTGGTTGCTGTCTACCACCTACTACCGCAGGACGGTATACCTCCTGGTGGCTGCTGTCTACCAACCTACTACCACAGGACGGTAGTACCTCCCTGGGTGGCTGCTGTCTACCAACCTACTACCGCAGAGGGATATTACTCCCTGGGTGGTTGCTGTCTACCAACCTACTACCGCAGGACGGTAGTACCTCCCTGGGTGGTTGCTGTCTACCAACCTACTACCGCAGGAGGGTAGTACCTCCCTGGGTGGTTGATGTCTACCAACCTACTACCGCAGGACGGTAGTACCTCCCTGGGTGGTTGCTGTCTACCAACCTACTACCGCAGGAGGGTAGTACCTCCCTGGGTGGTTGCTGTCTAACAACCTACTACCGCAGGAGTGTAGTACCTCCCTGGGTGGTTGCTGTCTACCAACCTACTTCCACAGGACGGTAGTACCTCCCTGGGTGGCTGCTGTCTACCAACCTACTACCGCAGGAGGGTAGTACGTCCCTGGGTGGTTGCTGTCTACCAACCTACTACCGCAGGACGGTAGTACCTCCCTGGGTGGTTGCTGTCTACCAACCTACTACCGCAAGGTAGTACCCCTTGGGTTTGGGGCTGTCTACCAACCTACTACCGCAGGAGGGTAGTACCTCCCTGGGTGGGTTTCTGTCTACCAACCTACTTCCACAGGACGGTAGTACCTCCCTGAGTGGTTGCTGTCTACCAGCCTACTACCACAGGACGGTAGTACCTCCCTGGGTGGTTGCTGTCTACCAACCTACTACCACAGGGCGGCAGTACTCCCTGGGCGGTTGCTGTCTACCAACCTACTACCACAGGACGGTAGTACCTCCCTGGGTGGCTGCTTTCTACCAACCTACTACCACAGGACGGTAAATACCTCCCTGGGTGGTTGCTGTCTACCAAACCCACTACCCAGGACGGTAGTACCTCCCTGAGTGGTTGCTGTCTACCAGCCTACTACCCAGGACGGTAGTACCTCCCTGAGTGGTTTTCTGTCTACCAACCTACTACCACAGGACGGTAGTACCTCCCTGAGTGGGTTTCTGTCTACCAACCTACTACCACAGGACGGTAGTACCTCCCTGGGGGGCTTTCTTCTACCAACCTACTACCACAGGACGGTAGTACCTCCCTGAGTGGTTGCTGTCTACCAACCTACTACCACAGGACGGTAGTACCTCCCTGGGTGGCTGCTTTCTACCACCCTACTACCACAGGACGGTATACCTCCCTGAGTGGTTGCGTCTACCAACCTACTACCACAGGGCGGTAGTACCTCCCTGGGTGGCTGCTTTCTACCAACCTACTACCACAGGACGGTAGTACCTCCCTGAGTGGTTACTGTCTACCAACCTACTACCACAGGACGGGAGTACCTCCCTGGGTGGGTTTCTGTCTACCAACCTACTACCACAGGACGGTAGTACCTCCCTGGGTGGCTGCTGTCCCACCAAACCCACTACCACAGGACGGTATACCTACCTGAGTGGTTACTGTCTACCAACCTACTACCACAGGACGTAGTACCTCCTGAGTGGTTGCTGTCTACCAACCTACCCACCACAGGACGGTAGTAACCTCCCTGAGTGGTTGCGTCTAAACCCAAACCCACTACCACAGGACGGTATACCTCCCTGAGTGGTTTCTTTTTTACCAACCTACTACCACAGGACGGTAGTACCTCCCTGGTGGTTGCTGTCTACCAACCTACTACCCCAGGACGGTAGTACCCCCTGAGTGGTTGCTGTCTACCAACCTACTACCACAGGACGGTAGTACCTCCCTGAGTGGTTGCTGTTCAACCACCTACTACCACAGGACGGTAGTACCTCCCTGATGGTTGCTTTCTTTCCAACCTTTCCACCTAGGAAAATAATAAATTATAAGGTGACTAATAGACAGCAGCTATGGAACAAGGAGCTACAAATTATTTGCAAGGTTGTTGCGCTGCTTGTATGGGTGGAAAGATAATTAACAATTGTAATAATAGCAGCACTATATCCTGGTAAGAATATATCCAAAATGCAGCACTGTATCTTAGTAAGAACTATCTGACATCCAACACTATATCCTGGTAAGAACACATGCAGAGAAACCCATCCTGTGATGGAATATGACAAGACTCTTAGCTACCCTTCGGTTCCCCCAATATAATTAATTTTATAGAATACTGTGCCAGCGCACCGTGGATGTTTCTACAATGTGTCACAGAATACTGCGGCAGCACTTTACCATATAACTAATTTGGTTAAAAGGTACGTACTTAAGGAAATCATACCTAAGGTAGAAGTACCTAAGTGGCACCTAAGTATCTAAATGGTACCTAAGGGAAATAGTACCTAAGTGTGATACCTAAGGAAAATAGTACCAAGTGTGGTACCTAAGGAAGTAGTACCTAAGTGTGATACCTAAGGAAGTAGTACCTAAGTGTGGTACCTAAGGAAGTAGTACCTAAGTGTGATACCTAAGGAAGTAGTACCTAAGTGTGGTACCTAAGGAAGTAGTACCTAAGGAAGAAATACCTAAGTGGTACCTAAGGAAGAAGTACCCAAGTGGTACCTAAGGAAGTAGTACCTATTGAAGAGGTAAGCATGGAAGAAGTACCTAAAGATGTACCTAAGGAAGAAGTACCTAAGGTAGTACCTAAGGAAGAAGTACCTAAGTGGTACCTAAGGAAGTAGTACCTAAGGAAGAAGTACCTAAGTGGTACCTAAGGAAGAAGTACCTAAGTGGTACCTAAGGAAGAAGTACCTAAGTGGTACCTAAGGAAGTAGTGCCTATGGAAGAGGTAAGTATGGAAGAAGTACCTAAGGAAGAAGTACCTAAGGAAGAAGTACCTAAGGAAGAAGTACCTACGGAAGAAGTACCTAAGGAAGTAGTGCCTAAGGAAGAAGTACCTAAGGAAATAGTATCTTAGAAGAGGTACCTAAGGAAGAGGTACCTAAGGAAGAGGTACCTAAGGAAGAAGTACCTATGGAAGAGTCTGAGGATCTGTGTGTGTCAGGGTGAACCATCACACTAACACCATCATCTTCCTCCTGCGCCCACGTCTTGGTCTCCTGCTGCGCCAACTTGCGCTGGTGGCGATGGTGCTTGCAGTTGCATGTAGCCTGTTTGGGAGGCATCCGGGCTATGGAGGACCAGTGTAGCAGACGCATTCTACTGTTGGTTCCTGCTGCACACTGCTCACACACGCATACAACATGCTGTCCGCATATCACACATTCTAACACACGAGCTTTCATTGCCTACCATTGTCCGTTCTTTGATGTATAATGCTTCTTTCCATTTATTACAGTAAATGAATTAAATACATCTTTAAATGTATTTAGTTCATTTATATATATATATATATATATATATATATATATATATATATATATATATATATATATATATATATATATATATATATATATATATATATAAAATGTTAAATGCTTTACTTTTTATTAGTTAAGTATAACTTACGGTGGCAGTAGCTTTGCTGTAAACTAATTTATCATGCAAAACTGAGCATAATTATCTCACGAACGTGTGATCATCATTTCTAAATAGCACACTTCACAAAGATTCGTACTAGTAACCATGGGTTGTGGTCTGAATTTCTCACCATTATATTACAAGAAAGAAAACAATATTTGATCTGAATTTTCTCAGGAGAATTTCGTAAAGTAAATCATATCTTCGGTAAAATAATTTAAGAAAGCGTTCGTTCGTTCCACTCGCATTATTACAATAACGTGAATCACAGATACTGGATTCATTCCAATGATTATCTATGGATGAGTACGCTTAACGAAATAATATAATGTTTGGCCCTGGAGGGAGCGACGTATCTTGCCCCGACGATAGTCACGCTCACACTGATGACTTTAGTCTTCACTCTCATCAATGATATAGACTCTTGCGGTCAACAGTGGCATTACAACAGTGAGATGGAGAAGGTAAAGCTACCACTACCACTGACCTAGAAAGATACATCTCATCACTCACAAACATGGTAGGTCATTCAGTAAGTCCCGACTGATTGTATTCTGCCAGTAAGCAGGACTGAGGAAAAAACACACGATGCATAATAGGCTTTTATTGGAGCATTTCTCTCCAGAGAGCTTTATCATGATGACTTTATAAAGCTCTACACAGAGCGAAACGTAGTCACAATAAAAGCTTGCTCTTCTACGTATGTCTTGTGTTCGATATTTTGTCAGCAGTTTATGGTAGGTATCTTCTATAGATATTCACTGTAAAGGGAACTTGAACCAAGTTCACACACCAGCCATATACACAAGAGATTTTCAGCTTTGTGGGAAGTAATTGACCAAACCAACATTTACATAACAAGAGTTTCTCATTTCCAGAGATAAAGTTTTTTCGCCCCCTTAATTAAGCCAAACGCTGGAGTATATAGCCTTGGGATTTTAGGGAATTTCTGGGCGGGGGAGGAGGGAAGGAAGAGCTCTGGGATCACTATTCTTGAGCTAGTAATATCCACTCACAGCTGGGCTCACTGTTCTTGAGCTAGATAATTCCACTCCTGGATTTAATTCCTCAAGCAACTGGTCACTCTCTAATTTCTTAATGCGTATAACTTCTGTCATGACTGAGGTACATATAAGACTGTTTCCATTATCTGATGTATACACATACACACATAAGAACATAAGAAAGAAGGAACACTGAGCAGACCTACTGGCCTAATGCGAGGCAGCTCCATTTCTCCCACCGGCTTAAGCCAATGCCTTGACCTAGTGAGGTCAGACACGTCTCTTAAGGGAGGAGCAGTGCATCCGACCTAGTAGCACAAGCTAGTCAGGTCCAACTCACACTCACCCACACCTACTCATGTATTTAGCCAACCTATTTTTAAAACTACACAACGTTTTAGCGTCTATGACGGTACTCACACACATACACACATCTGAAAGTAGAACAGTCTGGAGAATGATGTAGTGGAGGTAGTATCCATCCATAGCTTTAAGAAGAGGTACGATAACGCTCTTGGAGTAAGGAGAGAGTGGACCTAGATAATAACGATCAACGAAGTAGGCTGGGCCGCCCAAAGAGCAATGGATCGACCCCCTTCAACCACCAATAGGCGAGTACGCACGGAGGACATGATAATGACAAAAAAAAATACTGAAGTAATTGACAAGGGGATGGGTACAGGATGTTTCAGAGATGGGACAGAGCCACAAGGGTCACAACCAAAGATGAAGACAAAGATGAATCTAGGGATGTTAGGAAAGATTTATTCAGTCACAGAGTTGTCAGGAGTGGAACACTCTGGAGGGGTGATGTATGGAGGCAGGATCCATGCAGAGTTGTAAGAAGAAAACAATAAAGCTCATGAGCAGGGAGTGTAGCTACCAGCGAAGAGGCGAGGCCAGGAGCCATGAATCGACCCCTGCAACCATATTAAGTGATTACACACACACATTCTGCTGAATCTCTCTCTCTCTCTTCTCACTCTCTCCCAGGGCCAGAACACGTTTCTCACAATTACAAAGAAAGTGGAGAATCTATCGACAGCGTTTCGTTTCCGTTTCATTACCAGCCAATAACAGACACTGGACCATCTCGTTTTCCTTCTCTTCCTTCCCCTCTGTTCCTCCCTCACATATGACTAACTTCTGTTTTCCACAAAGTAGATATAAGAGTATAATATAGCAGTACAGCAGCAAACTGCGAGTGTTCCCGCTATATAACTATCATGGAAAGCAGTGCAGAAGCACACTGTGGGTGTTCCACTATCATAGACTAGTACAGAAGTACACTGTGGGTGTTCCACTATCATAGACTAGTACACAAGCACACTGTGGATGTTCCATTATCATACACTAGTACAGAAGCACACTGTGGGTGTTCCACTATCATAGACTAGTACAGAAGTATACTGTGGGTGTTCCACTATCATAGACTAGTACAGAAGCACACTGTGGGTGTTCCACTATCATAGAGTAGTACAGAAGCACATTGTGGGTGTTCCACTATCATAGACTAGTACAGAAGCACACTGCGGGTGTTCCACTATCATAGACTAGTACAGAAGTACACTGTGGGTGTTCCACTATCATAGACTAGTACAGAAGCACACTGTGGGTGTTCCACTATCATAGACTAGTACAGAAGTACACTGTGGGTGTTCCACTATCATAGACTAGTACAGAAGTACACTGTGGGTGTTTCCACTATCATAGACTAGTACAGAAGCACACTGTGGGTGTTCACTATCATAGACTAGTACAGAAGTACTCTGTGGGTGTTCCACTATCATAGACTAGTACAGAAGCACACTGCGGGGTGTTCCACTCATCATAGACTAGTACAGAAGCACACTGTGGGTGTTCCACTATCATAGACTAGAACAGAAGTACACTGTGGGTGTTCCACTATCATAGACTAGTACAGAAGTACACTGTGGGTGTTCCACTATCATAGAGTAGTACAGAAGCACACTGCGGGTGTTCCACTATCATAGACTAGTACAGAAGCACACTGTGGGTGTTCCACTATCATAGACTAGTACAGAAGTACACTGTGGGTGTTCCACTATCATAGACTAGTACAGAAGCACACTGCATGTGTTCCACTATATAACTATCATAGACTAGTATAACAGCACACTGCGGGTGTTTCACTATATAATTATCAAAGACAGTAGTACAGAAGCACACTGCGGGTGTTCCACTATCATAGACTAGTACAGCAGAACACTGCGGGTGTTCTACTGTATAACTATCATAGACTAGTACAGCAGAACACTTGAAGCTCTACACTGAGTTAAACGTTAACCCGATAAAAGCTTGTTGTGGATCCTGTGTTTGCTTCATTCTGTGCAACAGTGTATCTAATGATGGCTATTAAAAACAGAATAATGAAATATTTGACGATATTCTCATTGTACCACTGAAGTATCCCAGCTCAGACTGACACATTACAACACTTTGTATGAGCCCAATCTTGTGTAATGAAATATGACAAAAATACATACTTAGTTTTTGTACACCCTATGTGATGGAATATGACAAGGATACATAGTTAGCTTTTGTTCATCATACGTGATGGAATATGGCAAAGATACGTAGCTTTCGTTCATCCTGCGTGATGGAATATGACAAAGATACATAGCTTTCGTTCATCCTGCGTGATGGAATATGACAAAGATACATAGCTTTTATTTCCACTATGTAATTATCACATAAAATAGGGTAGCAGCACACTGTTAATGTATTTAATTTTGCTAAATAAAAATATAAAATGAATCCTGCTACTAGAATCATCACTCAAGGTAAGTAAGATCATATGTGACCACTTGTCAACAAGTGGCGTACAACCTGCAGTTCTCCAGACAGACGTCCCACTAGGTGGCTCAGTAGCTCCTTGCTGCTCTTGCTTTCTCTGTCAAGTGAGTGAGTTGAAGTGGAACGTGGGAATGATCTCTGCAGCATCCAGGTGTTGTACAAGCAATTCATCTCAGCGACTGCCACTTTCCAGCCAGTATTATAAATTTATTCATGCGGGAAGTCCTAAACTCATAGGGGCTATACAGCGACTGGGGAATGGGAGGTAATCAGGTGTGATGTAAGGAAGGTGAGGGCACCTCCAGTTCCATATATCAAGAGCCCTTTACCAGCATCCAGGCACCCCTTCCCTTTGAAAGATATTGAAAGATAAATTAATATCAATACCACATTAATCATATAACAAAACGTTTTAAATCTTATAATTACTATTATTTATCATCTACTTACTATGAATATTATAAGTCAAATCGCAACAAATTCACAAATCGACCCAAGAACTGAAGTAGTTTCCGCCCATCCTGGACTAACGGAAAGAAATTACAAGTCGTTTACAAATATAATAAATGCAGCTTTAATAGGTAAACATTTTAGAACTGGCAAACCACAGAAACTTGAAAACACGTACATGCTGAGGTAGGGGAACATACACTACCAGCTGAGGGAGGTACAGTTATACTACCTAGCTGAGGGAGGGTACAGTTATACTACCAGCTGAGGGAGGGTACAGTTTATCTACCAGATGAGGGAGGGTACAGTTATACTACCAGCTGAGGGAGGGTACAGTTTATACTACCAGCTGAGGGGAGGGTACAGTTATACTACCAGCTGAGGGAAGGTACAGTTATACTACCAGCTGAGGGAGGGTACAGTTATACTACCAGCTGAGGGAAGGTACAGTTATACTACCAGCTGAGGGAGGGTACAGTTATACTACCAGCTGAGGGAGGGATACTACCAGCTGAGGGAGGGTACAGTTATACTACCAGCTGAGGGAGGGTACAGTTATACTACCAGCTGAGGGAGGGTACAGTTATACTACCAGCTGAGGGAGGGTACAGTTATACTACCAGCTGAGGAGGGTACAGTTATACTACCAGCTGAGGGAGGTACAGTTATACTACCAGGTGAGGAGGGTACAGTTATACTACCAGGTGAGGGAGGGTACAGTTATACTACCAGGTGAGGGAGGGTACAGTTATACTACCAGCTAGGGAGGGTACAGTTATACTACCAGCTGAGGGAGGGTACAGTTATACTACCAGCTGAGGGAGGGTACAGTTTATACTACCAGCTAGGGGAGGTACAGTTTACTACCAGCTGAGGGAGGGTACAGTTATACTACCAGCTGAGGGAGGGTATAGTTATACTACCAGCTGAGGGAGGGTACAATTATACTACCATCTGAGGGAGGGTACAGTTATACTACCAGCTGAGGGAGGGTACAGTTATACTACCAGCTGAGGGAGGGTACAGTTATACTACCAGCTGAGGGAGGGTACAGTTATACTACCAGCTGAGGGAGGGTACAATTATACTACCAGCTGAGGGAGGGTACAGTTATACTACCAACTGAGGGAGGGTACAGTTATACTACCAGCTGAGGGAGGGTACAATTATACTACCATCTGAGGGAGGGTACAGTTATACTACCAGCTGAGGGAGGGTACTAGTTATATACTACCAGCTGAGGAGAGGTACAGTTATACTACCAGTGAGGGAGGGTACAGTTATACTACCAGCTGAGGGAGGGTACAGTTATACTACCAGGTGAGGGAGGGTACAGTTATACTACCAGGTGAGGGAGGGTACAGTTATACTACCAGGTGAGGGAGGGTACAGTTATACTACCAGGTGAGGGAGGGTACAGTTATACTACCAGCTGAGGGAGGGTACAGTTATACTACCAGCTGAGGGAGGGTACAGTTATACTACCAGCTGAGGGAGGGTACAGTTATACTACCAGCTGAAGGAGGGTACAGTTATACTACCAGCTGAGGGAGGGTACAGTTTATACTACCAGCTGAGGGAGGGTACAGTTATACTACCAGCTGAGGGAGGGTACAGTTATACTACCAGCTGAGGGAGGGTACAGTTATACTACCAGCTGAGGGAGGGTACAGTTATACTACCAGCTGAGGGAGGGTACAATTATACTACCATCTGAGGGAGGGTACAGTTATACTACCAGCTGAGGGAGGGTACAGTTATACTACCAGCTGAGGGAGGGTACAGTTATACTACCAGCTGAGGGAGGGTACAGTTAATACTACCAGCTGAGGGAGGGTACAATTATACTACCAGCTGAGGGAGGGTACAGTTATACCTA